TGGAGATCTCTAAAAAATAGTGACGCGACGATTATTAATTCATTCGAGTCTTACACCAAAAAAGATCGACAATGGTAATTTTTAACTCTCTTGGCTGTAAGGCTACACATTAAAAACTTAAAACGTGAATCATAAAATGGCAAAAATATAAATTTATCATTAAAAACGCTACTTTTCGAACATACTTTGACTTATAAATCTATCATTACCATTATCATACACATTAATATTTAATATAAAATAATAAAAGAGTAGTAAAGTAAGACGTAAAGAGGATGAACCGTGTGTAATAAAAAATTTTTAAAAACGCACATTCAAACCGTTAAGCTTTCAAATTTTTGCTGATGCTGCAATTTGATTATAAAAATTATTTACTACAATAAAAGCGATGAAGACTTAACAATCGATAAATTTAAGCATTTATGAAGATTTAATAATTCATATTATAATATGCATCATATTTGCTTTGCGCTTATATCATTTCGATAATGTTTTACAAATACTTTTTTCTCTTTTAACTTCAATTACAATTAATAAAACTATAGTTACAATGGTATTATAATAACTTTATATAAAAAAATAAAAATTATTTCAATATTCCGCGAGCGAGACGAAAAATCGCGCATTTTTAATAGTATGTATTATAGCTTTCGTATATTAATAATGTAGGTACACGATATATGCGACAAGGTGAATAGATTCGACGCGCCAAGGACTAAATATTATGATATATTCGCTACTTAATTATTTCGACCAGCTATTATTAACATAATTGAGAAACTTTTAGTTAGTGCAGCAAATTAAACAATAGTTAATATTATACAGATAAAAATCTTAAATGGGACTTTGAGAACTTATTTAGCTACTTTTAGCATACAAAATATAACAATAAAAAGTTAATTGTAAATGTAAAGGATTCTTTAAAATATAATAGGAAGTACGCACGTAATGTACGTATCACTTCGAAATTCCCACTTATCATTACACTATCTCGCAAAATTTTGATATTTTTCGGATGTTTTATCAGCAAATCGTAGACAATTTTACTGCTCGATCAACGACTAGGTTTACTTAGAATAGTTAAGAAAAAAAAAAATTAACAATAAGATTTGTATAAATAATATAATTGTTCTTTAAATAACAGCATACTCGCACATAAATTTATCAATCTTGGTAAAAAAAAATATATATATTATCAATTTACACCTTTGGATGTCATTACTCTCTGAGCATGAATAATGTACTCATTATACATAAAAATTACAAAAATAAATGTAATTAAATATAAAATATTTGTCTACACAAAACTAGAACTGATTGCACGTTTTTCCTGAAAACCGATCACAAACTTAAAAAATATGTATAATTCATTCGTTTATCGAGCAATAAAATTGCACTCTCTATGCAGTTAAAAAAAGTTTCAAAAGATAAAAATTTATTTATACCGAAGCGAAAATATCAAAACATTATAAAAATTGAAGCGCATGTGGGCGCGTGCACGTGTATGTGTATGTTTGAGTGTAAGTGTGTTTATGTCAATGTGAACACAAATTCCGCCAAAAAAGTATATTCATCACACTCTCGTTCATTTAAAAACTAGCTTGAACGATCTCAGAAAAATTGTAGGGCATCTTAATAATACCATACACGATCAGACAAGAATATAGAATAACAGTGGTATAAAAAACTTGTCAACACTGTCAAAATACAAATCTATCGATTCAAAATGACTATTACATTATATTGTATTATGTTACTTTTTCTCACAGTATATTATTATAAATAATTTATCCGAGCTTCCTCTTAAAACTTTACACATCTGTACATGTCATTTCGATCCGTCACGTTTTTATATCTTGAATTTTTTTAGAGAATAATAACTCTTCCTTGATCGGCACAATACACGCTCGTTTTTATATACGTAATATTTACTCTTGTTTAACGTGTACAAAAAATATATACAAATATAGACTAATATATTTATATCATATGAATCGTACACGATTCCAGAAAATTGATAATAATATATAAAAACGGCCGTGCTGCGTTGTGTGTGCACGAATAAAAAAGGAAATATACACATGGTTTTGACACAATTGTAATGCATAAAAATTACTTGCACTCGGTATCCGTTTTTTTGACATATGATTTGAATATTCCTCGATAAATTCACCTAAAGCCTAACGACGAATGAAGATTACATTATCAAGCTCGAGAATTGTTTGTTTTTAGTTTGTCATCGGTCGTCTAATTTTCTATTTTTTCCCCTGGTGATATGTTAATTATTTCCGTCGCTTATCTGTATCGTTGGCCGTTTGTTTTATGAATGAAGTTACATCAAGTCAAATCGTAACGAACAGTTCATGATTAACCAAAAAAGAAAAAAATAGACATGAGAAATACAAGTTAGCAATTACTTATAATACATGCACAGACGTATACGCGTTTTTGTGCGCGAGTTACTTCATCAAGATTTTTTCTACTTGAATAGAAAAGTAGATAGTTAAAATTTCTAATTCTTAATTACAATTAGGAGGTATTGCTCGAATATATAAGTTATGTATATATTACGTAGAAAAAGCTAGATCAGCAAGAACAATCAAAAAAGTAACCATCATCCACCAATATCGATAAAATGACGACGGGTCGAAATAACAATTTTTTTTCTTCATATGTCGAGCACTTGAACACGTGTTCGCGTTATGAATTTTAAGATTTACTTAATTTTTTTCATTATGAAAAATGTCAGAAGAAATTTTATGTAAACGCAAATGCACTCGCACATCATGTACTTATTGTTTATCATAATGATGTAAAATACGTGTAGAGAGTAAGAACGAATCAGCCATTATAATAATATCCATTATTTATATTATAATTGTTTACCTACGATCGACCGGTCGCGTGGCACATTCGCATTTCAAAAAAATTAGAAAAATTTGTCTTGTTTTTTTTTTCTGAAGATTACTATAGAAAAAACGTCGTTATTTTGAATCACTAAAAACCGGTCCGTCGCCGATTTACATTCATTTTAAATTGGTTTATTATTTTAGGTATTGAAATAACACTAATTTTTCTCTACATTTATATAAATTATATGAGTTAAATTTAGAAGAATTGGTACCTAGGTAAACATTTTCAATTATTTGTTTTTCTCTACTATTAATATATATATAATATATTAATATATACTTTTTTAAATCGATTATCGCGGCGTGTCATTGTTAATAAGCGTTTTTCATCATAATCTCTCCTCGTAAGATTTCACTCGTGAAATTTTACAGATTGTTGGTACTGTGCAAGCTTTTTGTGCAATCCAATGCCGTATTCCTATTCATAAATTGTCGCAGAGAGATTGAGAATACATTTCATGATTCAATTTTCTTTACCTAATTTTAATTAAAATTTTCTCTTCTCTCTAAGTAAGGCCCACATTGCGCACACGATAAAAGCAACCGAATATTTTTTCGTTAAAATTACCCTAACTAATTAAGCTTGTTTTATCCAATACCCGTGTGTGTAAGTGTGTGACGCTTAATTTAAAATTCGTGATCCTTCGAACGGTGAAAAGAAATATTCAGCTGGTTTGCTATTGCACATTAGATCGTAATTTGCAGTGTCGATTATCGGACGAATATAATCTCACCCCCTAGCTTATTTTCGATAATTAACTCAATTTATTTTGCTATTAAATACTCCAGTTATTTTCATTTTTTTACTAATGTTTTTTTATCTGAAGAGAGATTGCGACCATACTTTATGTTGATCATTTATTTGTCCGAATTTGACTCGCGCGATTTTTACCTAAATGCCACCAAAATCCTACAGCGGCAAGTTGATAGTAATATATACAAAAAGGAGACCAAAAAAATAAATATATATGTATATTTATTTATAAGTATAGATAGATGTGGAGATTACATCTTTAAAATCTTCATTTTCCACGTTACGATCATTTTTTTCTTGTACCATCTTTCTATGAAAGAGATTCAATAGCCAAAAAATTTGATTAATTTTATATTTAATCATCTTTAATGACGACGTTTTTTCCGTTCATAAGATTTTGTTATTCCAATTTTTATACAATTTTTTAACGGTAAATTCAACTTTTCTAATTTGAGATTATGAAATTTTCGGGGCTTCTTCCTACGAGAAAGCCTCTTTTCTAGTGTTTTAAATTATTCGAATTTCTCGTGCTTTATGTTATACATGTACATTATTTTTTGTTCTTCGCCCCTTACATAATTATAACCTACACATCATATTTTTTTAACGTGTTTTGTTTTTTCCTAAGTTTCAAGTGTTTTTATTTAAAAAAAATAAAGTATCATAATAAATTCGAAAAATTGATATATAAAAATAAAAAAACTGTCTCGCCGCCGAGACTGTCTATTCTTAAAAATAGTCTGATTATAGTTGTGTACGATTATTATTTAATTTTTTCCTTTACTAATATTTATTGTTAAACAAAGAAATTGTTATTTAAACGCGTTTTTTACAGTTACGACATACATTTTACTTATGTTGTATTTCTTGAATACTTGTTATCCTTATATTTTTGATAAGTGAAAATTTAATTTGTAATATTTTTGTTTATAGCATTTTAAGCTGATGTACGATTCAAATGATAATTTTTTTAAAGTAATGAGTGGTATCGTAGGGATGCAGAGATTACGTCTGAACCAAAAGAGTCAAATGAAAGGAGGATGCGAAAAACACATCACCTTGCTTACACGTATGATCCTTGCCATGCGTTACGACATTTTACGAATGCTACGACGTCTTTTCATCAGAACTTTGATGCATTTGCCTTTCATTGACGCAAAAATTTCTAAATTGAGGCTAATCCTTTTCTTGCTTGTTAAGTAGTATATATAAATACGAATGAAAAATATTTATATAATACTAAATTTCCATCAATTTTTTTTATATGTGTAGCATATTTATGAGTAAATGTAACTATAATAACGATTATATTGTATGAACAACGCCGTAGTCAGTATCTTTCATAGCATAGTATTTATTCCGAATCTATGCGCACACATTGTGGCTCGACACTTTTCTCGCTCTCTTGAATTTGAACTACGCAATTGTTTTAAAAGAGTTAAAATCTTTCAATTATTTTTATTAAAATTGCGTGTGTTTGTTTATATTTTCTAATATATACAACGAGATTAGAAAGTGTCGGTCAGTGTGTGAGCGCGTGTATGTATGGGTTTTAGTGTGTCAGCAAATATGTAAATGCGTACTTAAAGTTCTTATTTTTCAGTAAATTTTTTTTCATTATATATGCCTAATTAAGGGACTGTATTGTATATATATTCAATTTTTTCTCGTCTAATAGACAAAAAAAGAATATTTCGATCAAGCGCTGCCTGCGCGCGGGCAGATATAGCAATGTTTAATTAAAGGGCGAGATTATATAATTCAATCCATTTTTCCTACATTATGTACACGAAGAGGGGCGAGCTACTCATTGCACTATTTCGATTCTCTCGATTAAATATGCCTACATAATTCATATTATCATGTTTCCATTTGTTTTTTCTTGATCAAGTTTTTTGCTGATTCTATCGTTCTTAGTTAATGCTTCGTCGGCCTTCTTACTTCGAGTTTCGCATTTTTTTACAATCAAGACTTGATTTATAAGACTCTACGATTTAATTGTGATTTTTGCCAAAATTCGCATAATGTACCTTTCTAAAAATGAGTTCGTTGTAGCTTACAAACACCACGAAATACTTATTGTTCCAGTGTATGCTTTGATAAAACCTTGAGATATCCAATATTTAGTTATATTGGTAGTTTAAACTAGTATTTTTAAATATTTAGGCAGCACAGTTTGTTTACAAAAAGAAATTTTTTAATTATGTGCATATTTGTAAAACGTGATAGATTGAAAAAGATAACTGTTCCGATATTATTTTTCATTGACCCATGAGTCTCTATTTAAAAAATGCAAATTTAGCCTCAATGGAATAGTTTAAACTATAGATATTTAACAATGTTATGTATAAGAATTGAACCTTTTCTTAACACAAATTTATCAATACCAAAATTTATAAAAACTAGTTAAATATGCGTTCAAAGAGCAATATATTCAATGATATAAAAAGTTATTAATTTAATGGCATCATGCTTCATTGTGACAAAATCACTTTTTAATCGAAAGAATAAAAAAATTATAGCAAAATATCTTTAATTTTAATATAAAATTTGAAAACATTTATTTAATCTCTCAATCATAATAAATAATGTACAATAAAAAACAACATTAATTTATAAATGGAAAATATCGCAAATACAACGCTTTAAGATTATTCGTTTAGAAATGACTTTATAAAATCTATAATTAAGATCATAATTTTTTACAAAACATGCAAAAAGTAAATTCATTGGCAATCGCACGTTAGGGACAAAGTTCATTGGAGCACTGAGGCTATCTAAATGAAAGTCACAAATTATTGTTTTTCCATTTAGTTCTGGTTAACGCGAGAAAAAAATTTAATAATCAAGTTACTCAATTTTCATATATAAAGAATTTGCTTACAATTAACAATTATAATAATTTTTGGTAAAAATCTAAGATCGCAAACGAAGCATCGTCAAAAGTTAAAACGAGATAGTAGCAATTATAAAAAACGTTGCTTCTCTGCACAACTACTAGCGGTTTTCAGGTACATATCTTGCTTTTGGACTCGTTAAATACTTTTTTATATAAGAAACAAACCGATGCAAACTTCGTTCACTACGCATATAAGAAATCATAAAAATTCATTCTACGAAGTTCATTTACAATTAAGAAAATAGTCGAGCAAGTATTTATACGAAACATATAATACGACAACACGAGTGACGACAATTTGAGATAGAAATATTCATTTGCTAACAAAACGAATCAGCAAAAATCTTTGAAGAAAAAAATGGTATTTCAGAGCGGACAAACATTTATGTGAAGGTAAATCTAGTTTATAGATTTGTCATAGAAAAAATTTTCGAATAGCTCTACATTATTCGAACAAGAGTAAGACATTCTTAGTTCAAAAGAGCTCTCTGTCCATATAAGTTGTCAAGAGAGAACGTTCATAAATATATATGTGCGGATTTTCGCGTTCCGCACAGACTCTTCTAAACGTTCATCATTCGTCATTTTACAATTAATACCTACGTGGTAATCATCTTATACGTGTGAGCGTGTATTTATTTTTCCTTTTTTTTAAGAGTGTGTATCAGTGTACGAGAGTGAGTGTGTGTTCGTGTGTGTATATTATTATATTTGTTTTGCATAATAATAGAATTGTGTACGCGTGTATGGGCTTCGAGCGCGTATGTGTAACTGCGCGTTCACAGCGTCTTTTAGATTAGAGTTAAAAGAGCCTTAGATTCTAGAGATAATTTTTTACGGTACAGAGAAAAGGTTGGCTTTACGCGCAGCTCGCGATACACGAAAGGTCACACACGCCGTAATGTTCTCGATCTTTTATCATTTCTCGGGATAAAATGTTTCTTTTCATCTTGATTGATTTTTTACCTATCTGGTAAAACGGGGTTTTATCTTGCTTATTATAATATTTCGCTTCGGTTGTCGTCTGCGGTGGCTTCTTAGAGCCGACGGCGACGTTGAAGATGCTGCTGCTGATGATGCTGCTGTGGGAGTTGGTGATGGTTGTATTGTTGTTGCTGCTGTTGTTGGTGCGGTTGATGATGATGGTGGTGGTGTGGCTGCTGCTGCGTCGATTGCGATTGCTGCAGCGGCTGAGGCTGGGGTTAACACCAGCGAAAGGGGACCGCGCGAGGTCGATCGGCGCCCTCTTTTACGAGAGGTTTGTGGAACTCACGACCTGGTCTCGAGTGAATCGTTGCCCAGCAATGTTCACAATAGTACTGAAATTTCGTGGCAAATTTTATTATTTCAAGTATCGTAGAATGTTGCAATTGCACAAGCGAATTTGAAAAATCGTGTCGGGAATCGAAGTGACTCTATCGATCGTACGTATAAGCATACCTGTAAACAAGTAACGTTGGCGCAGAAAAACGGAGCGAATTTTCCACCACAGCGCTGACCCTGACATTCGTCGCACATCTGATCATCTAGCACGTAGGGTTTAACTTCAACCTGAAATAAAAATTCAGCAAATTTGGCGTGTAACGTTCGTCGGACATAAAAATTATTGTAAAACCACGACAAAATAACAACACACAAGAATACAGGGTGAAAAATCGGTCTTACCCTTTTATCGATGTCACTGTGTTGCAATTGAACGAATCTAGCGGATATAGCAGCGATGTAGCTCTGCTGATTACTGAATGCCACTCGGCCGGCACCTTTTGGATACTTCAATTCGGGATCTGTGTCGATGCCGGCGTAGCATACACCGCCGTACAGCCGGTCCATGATCATCGCCAATTCAACGGCCTTCAATGGCCGCGGCACACCACCGACGAAGACGGTTTTACGCGGATCCAACGGCATCGAAGCGTCCAATACGAAATCGGCATCGGACAGTCGCCAAGGTCTGATCTGTACGGGCTTATCCTTGATCGTTGGCGACGAGACGCATAAATAAAGTTTGTCCTCATCTTGAATGCAGGCATCGATCAGCTGTTGCACTGAGCTTTCATCCTGCAAAATAGACTTGGGTCAGTTTTTGTCGCCCATCGATCCGAAGGAAGTAAATAAATAGTTTCGTGCGTTGGCATACCTGAAAAAGTAGGAAAGCATATCCTTTTGGTGGGAAATATGATTTGCTCTCGGCTTTGTGGGGCCAATCGACGACCAGAGCACCGAAGCATTGAAAACTCGACGTTATTTCCTCTGCAAATGTCAAACGATTGAATGAAAATCAGTAAAAATGAGGGGAAAAAGAAAGCGAGGAGCAAAGGCAAAAGTGGAGCAATAAATGAAAACAAACCCTCGGCAATGTCGGGTGGGAGTCCACCGACGAAAACTTTGCGCGAAAAACGCTCGCCAGTCTCGCTGCCCTGACTGTGGGGGCTGCTGCGGCTGGGCGACGACAGAGGTGCCTGATGATGACCCGGTTGGCCTAAAACACCTACGGGTACGACGCCGTCTAATTGGCCACCGCCACCACCGCCGCCGCCCGGCACGCCCGGCTCCTCCAGCAGGTTACCACCCGGACCATCGTCGACTAATCCCGTGAAAAACGGCGATTTTCCTGAAACGAGGAGAAAAACCAAAATACATTAGTGCGTTGTTACGCAATACATAGGACGTGTAAATTCTAAAGCTTTCAAAATTAGACATGTTTTTTATAAATCTCGATCAAGTCCGCGCACGAAAAATCGGCAAAAATGGTGAGCCGAAAAACAAATGTCAATATTTACCGCACTTATTATGAAAACAATCACTATTTATTTGTGACAATTATCACTCACTACAGGGCTGCTTAAAGGAGAAATGCGCTCTTCTCACTTGAGTATCCATTTTTTAGTTGCAGTCGAAAAAATGTCAAGGAAAAAGAGTCGAAGCAAGAGCTAATAATGCAAGCACGAGTGCTAGCGAGCTTGTGACGGTGCGAAAGGCCGAAAAAGAAATGCGATGCGATGCGACGACAACGACCACGACGACGACGACTGCAGTCATCACTTATACATACAGCGCTCAGGAGAGTGTGTGCGTGAGAAAAAGCGAGAGAGAAAGAGAGAGAGAGAGAGAGTAACCGAGCGAGCGTCGTATGTTATTTTTCTATCCCCGGAAGTCAAAGCGCGACCGATGATTTCGCGAATTTTTGATTCACAGAGGTCGATGCCTTCGGGAGTCGTCTGCGCTTCTTCTGCTGATGCTGTTGCTGCTCCGTATTACTAAGTATTGTAACGTGCATGTATAAGTAGACACAGACGCGACTGTACACACACATATATATCAATTATGAGGCATAGACGGTGACGGCGACGTCGATCTCTTTTGAGGTAGTGTTTTAGTTGCAACGCCTCGCGCTCGTGGGAAAGTGTTTATTATTTTACGATGTGCCCCGAGCCAATCAAAAGTATCGGGAGCGTAGGAGCTCTTGTCAACGCTGCTCTTCTCCTTGCAATGTACAAACTCAATGAATAACAAGCGCGTAGTACGTAACGTGTAGCTCTTTGCTACTAAGTGTGTTTGTACACGCGATTTACGTACGTATTATATCCACTGGCATCGTTATCCACCGGGTGCGCAATTTTTTTCGTCGATTTTCATCGCGGAATTGAGTCGAAGCTAGCGGGTATCGATCCTGTTATCCTAATAATTACATTTCCATTAGGCTAAAAGCAGAAAGGACGGAGAATGCATTACGCAATTATGAGACGGAAATTCATTAAGGAAAATTGAGAGCTTTCGGGGTGATTATTACTTTCGTACACTTAATAATTGTTTAAAAACTACAATCGAGCGAGAGAAGAATGAGAACGAGAGAGAGAGCGCGCGGGAGGTAATTCCTCCGGGATGCTAGAGTGAAAAAGAAACATGTAGAAGGGAGAGAGGGAGAGCGCCGGTAGACGCGCTGCTCGAGATAAGAGAGGGCTCGAATCCCTGACACTATAACGAAGAGTTATCATACCCAGAACAGCAACTAAGGATATCGCGTGACCTGACCAACCCCCCTCCCCCTCCCGTTCCCTTCCTCCCTCTCCCCCATGGGCTCGCACAACCCCATCTCTTCGTGAACGAGAAATTTTTGCCAAGGCGTTGATTAAAAAAGTGTAATAACAAAGCGTTTAAAATGACGTTTTTATCGGTTTTCTTGATATGAATATAATAATATATATTACTAGTTCAGCTGCACATATATTTATATAGCCACGGATGCATAATATATACAATATATACGTGTGCGAAACCAACTTGGTCTGCCCGTATCGATCTTAGTGGAAGGCAAGTGCAGCGCTCGTGAACTGCAACAACTACTATATATACTCACAAACACACGAGCACAAATACACAAAAACATGTAAACAGAAAGAGAAAGAACGAGAGTAAAGCAAAAGGCAGGACGCTACAAAAAATTTTAGTCTATTGTAGAAAATAAGAGACTCAAGACGTACGAAAGAAAAGATATTGTTATGTGTAGGTTAAAGGTAGCTACTTGATTGAATTTACTTATTGTTCTCTCGTACATTTTAATTATAAAAAGTCTAGGACACTTGACTTGCTTTTTTAGCAGCGAAAAAATAACACGAAATCACAATCTGATCCATTCATAAATATTTAAAATTACAAATGAATTTTGGTTTTTTCTTTACGAGTTTGCTTTGCCACTTTTTTTTTAATACGACATAGTAAATTTGATCTTCTTTGGTGATAATTTAATTTACTGACAAGTCGCTCGAAGGAAGAGTAATTTTTATACAGGGAAGAGCATCTTGGTCGAATGATGAAGAAAAATAATGTTCCCACGCCCAAAGTACCTTAAAGAGCAATCGATGCGCTTGCTATTGCATTAAGCAACGAGATAGACAGAAAAATAATAAAATCGGGCGAAATTTCGGAGTAACGAGCGGGTCGCGCTTCGCTGTAATTAGCCACTAACGCGTCGTCGTCATGTTTTGACTCCTTTTTCTCTGCGTTACTTTTCTTCCTTGACATGGTTGATTCGCATCAGCTGTGATCAATATAGTTCCGTGTTTACCGCAGATGGCGCGTCGGCCCGCACCTGATTATGTTTCTTCCGAGCGATTACGTTTCCGAAATCGATGCGTGAAACATGAAAACTAACAGGCACCGTATATCGCCAGATAAGTTTTTTTTTTCACTGTCAACATTAGAGACTGTGCCAGCGAGAAAAAGTTCTGTGCTCGCTGATACGGCGTAGGTACAGGAGATAAAAAGAAGTAACGGATAAGATAACGATTGAAGTCGGCTGGAAGTATTTCGACACGATAAACTATATTTAACAAGTGCATGAGCGTAGAAGGCAAATGAACTTATAATTGACGTGTCCTCGCAGTCGATCGCGTATGCAGACGACAAAAAAGTGCACGGCTAATTGGACGGTCCTGCATTACCGGCACTGTTTTATCATGCCAGACTTGACATCTCGACGACGGCAATGTTTATCACGTTCCACAGACTTTATTTATGCATCGAGGAAAAAGTGAAGAGAAAAAGTGAAGAACTGAAAAGATAAAAAATTTGACGTTATGAACATACCCAAAGTGCCGAACTCTTGGTCCAAAATTTTGGCCAGGTCGAGCAGATTCATGCTCGGCAGGGCCTGCTTCTTCTGCACAGTATTTCGCGTACTCGCATACATTTTTTCACGGTAAAAAAGTCACAGGGAACAATAATTAAAAATCACAGCCACTGAATGGACACTTTGACTAGAACTCGATGTGTTGTCACAAACAAACTATATTACGACGACGAGGAGGAGAGTCAGCGGCAGACGATAGTTGCAAGTCGAGCGTGAAGACGAGCACTCCTCGGCTCGTTCGCAGGCATTCAGACAGAAATCGATGACGACGTCGACTCGGATTACTTCATGTCGAAAATAAAATAGTCCGAGGAAGGAAGAAGTGAAAAATGCCTCTCGATGCGCGACGCTAAAAATAAGCTCGAGCGGTCGGCAGGCTCCCGGTCGTGTGGCAAAAAAGCATCGAGCTGCTGCCGCCGCCGCCTCGTCGTCGAAACGGAGTGGCGAGCTTCGCAGCGCCCGCGGGTTTATATTTAAAGCCGACACAAGTCTGAGCTGCTAGCATGCGCGTATATATATCTTTAGTGTTATATGTTACGTGCAGAGATAGGCTGTATTAGGAGCCGGCTCGGTCACTCGTCACGACGCACACAAACTACACGGGTACACACGCGCGCACTTGGTTGTTGTTTATACGTATGTATAGTAAGAGAGAGAGAGAGAAAAAGAGAGAAAGAGTCGTCGCGCGAGCGCAACGTTCGCTCGTCGGCAGCGTTGGAAAGCGACTAAAGGCAACTCGGAGTTGTTTCGCGCGGCGCAGCAGTAGGCAGCAGTGCTATAGCAGCACTACGTCGTCGGCGGCGAGCGCAGAGAGTAGAGTCAGTAGAGGTGTATAGGTGCTCGAGCGATGCAGCAGCGTAGCAATCGGATGGCTGAACGCGGCTCTGAACCCTGCCTGCCTGCCTGCCTGCTGCTGCTGTATGCGCGCGCTCGCTCGCTCTGCTCCGTATTATAGAGTGTGTGTATGTACGTACGGACGAGATAGAGCAAGGCCTGCCCCCGACGTAGAGTACGCGCTACACACGCGATCGATTTCCATAGCAGCCGCCGAGCGAAGAGCACGCGCGCGCCTGCCAGGCTGCCAGGCTGCCCCGGCTCCCCTCCGTCCGCATCTCTATGCTACATGCTATATACTATATACCCGTGAGTCGTGAGCCGACTGCTTCCCCTCTTTCCGCTCTCTCTCTCTCTCTCTCTCTGCTCTCTTCTGTGTACTTGCTTCGCTTATAGCCTCGTATAGGTGTAAGCGCGGGGGGTTACGTCACGCGCGCGCACACACACACACTTACACGTACGATCTACTACCCTGCGCCAAGGGGGTCGACGACCGCTGCACTTTTCCGGCGTTCCGTACAGTATAGATCTATATACAGGCTGCAGCGCGCCACGACTCACGAGATGCTTCAACCATATTGCCACCGCCGCCACCACCGAGGCGATCTTTCTTTCGCGAAGCAGACTCGAGGCTCTCTCCTGCACCTTGCGCATGTATATTGTATACGCTCCCTGCTCCCTCCCGCCTGCCTCTAATTCCTGAATTAAATATTAATAACCGCCATCAAGGGGATGTAATAGCGCAGCCCTGAGCGTATAACATTTTTTTCTCCTCGATATACGCGTCGCTGAGGCTCGACCGATCGACTTTTATTGCTTGACCCGCTTTTCTACCCGGCTTGACAAAGGATATTTCCAACTGCGGCATTCTTTTAGCCATTTTTTCCGCTTTTCTACTTTTGTCACTTTTGCCCACCACGACTCGGCCCTGTTTTGCATTCTGTCAACGTCAGGACATTCCTCGAGAAATATTTTTAAATAGCTCCAACCCTGAGAGACTTTTTCGACGTTATATTGTTATCTATTATAAGAGACAGTTGTTTCAACTACTGAAAATTGACGCTCGCTAAAATAACGCATCGAATGAGAAGATAACTGTCGAGCCTTCAGCATGAATTTACAAAAATTACAAATGAATCAATGACTTTTTCGAATCAATTGATTTTACACTTTTTCATCGAGTGCTCTGAAATATCAGCGTTAGAAATTCAACACTTTCATTTCTAGACGAGCAAACATGCACGATCGCTCGTGCGAAAGAGAGATATATTATTTTAAAAGAAAAAAATCAACTGCAAATCGAGCATTGCTATCCAGAAGTCGGCATGGAAAGCACCGATGTAAATTCGTGTAAAATCGATCAATTCAGCCGCTTCGTCGAGAGGAAGATTGAGATAAATTTTCCCCGGCTAATCTCTCTCTTTCTGCTGTGCTCTCTTGTGACGCCTCTTTTCAGCACTTACTGAGAGGTGTTCATGCCAAATAAGCGATCTTTTCTATCTCGCCGAGGCAATGAAGAAAAAAAAGTGAAAGGATGAGGGAGAGGGAGAAAAACGAAGGAGCATAGACGCAAATAATGTCCATTAAAGAAAAGTCGAAGAATACTTTTGATCTAAAAAAAGTTGCATTATCGCGAACCAACGTGGGCAACTTCGTATTTATGCCGTGGCGAATCAAAGGATAAGTTAATTTCCCTCCAAAGACAACAACGCATAATTAATGTAACACGCTCCGCTGCATTACAATATAAGCGTTAGTTTTTTCACCAAAAATCAGTTAGTATTGATAGATAATATATAAACTACTACTCACGATTTTTAAGATTAGATACATTGGCACTGTGCGGAAACATACCTGCAGCAAAAAAACATCAAGTTAATTAAACCGTCGTTGCAAAGACGTAATACATGAAAATATAAATATTGGTTCATTTTCGAAAACGTACAGCACGTACGAACGTATTCCAACGCCTTGGGTCATGTGCTATATCGAGAGAGCTATCAGTGATTTTATTTTCAAAAATTGGGACTGTATATCGTGCCACGGAGCATCTGTTCATACGTATATAAATGAAAATTTCATTAAGGATCGTATAAATACGTGAGTTCATATAGATCCGAAGCTCGACGCGCGATGACACATTGGATGTTATGTTCAACCCATTCGAAAGCAATTACCGCAAAATACCTTTTTTTACGTTATTTTCAGGCAATGCGATAAAGTCGAGAAAAAAGCCACTGCGGCGCGTACAATAAACTCTAATCATAATGGAAGTGGAAGCCATAAAGTAATTTTATAGTAGTACCGATCGCTAGTCACGTCTTATCGTCATTTTTACAGGCCACGCACTGCACAGCGATCCACCGAAGCTCGCAGTTGCAGAGAAAAAAATAAAGAGATGAAAGTGTCAGTGATTATCCAACTCGATTCTCGAGGAGTTCGCTTACTGCACACGTGGCGCGGCAAAAATGTCGAAAAATTCAAATGTCTCACATTTGAAAAGACATTAAAGGTCGTGAGATAAATCGCAACCCGTAAAGGCTCTCGCCCGAATTAGATAGATGTATAGCAAAGGTCTTATATAGGTACGAGACTGAAAATCCTAATGCAAGTAGCCATGGGGATAAAAATAAATCTATATGGTACAGTCGCACGTTCGAAGCATAAAAATCAAAGAGCAAGTTTTATTTGGCTCGGTGAATATCTGCTGCTAGGTATATCGACAATTTATGTGTATTGCGCAATCGAGTCTAAGCTCCAAGGGTAATTATCCAGTGCTTTTAGTCAAAAACGACGATGGGGCCGATGTTTTTTCAAGATAATTGACGATATTTTCCATCGGGTAAACTGGCGCAGGGGACAATTTCACGGGCATCGCCTCGAAGCAATCATTTACGTCGCAGAATCGCATCGCTTGTAAATGTACACGGTAAATACACCCTCGTTGCGTGTGTGTGTACTGTGTACGCGCGTCTATCTTATGTAAAGCCCCGCAAGTACATAAGTTGTATATTCGCAGCCAGACACACGTGTCAGAAAAGTGTAATGGCAGCGGCAGCAGCAACAACAAACCCTTGTTTTTCCCTAAAAGCATCGATCCCGAGCGTGTATCGTCCGGCTGTACCCAGCCGTTAATTTATTTGTCTTATGATTAACGCAACGACTATGAATGTGTATTTTCACCATGACCCTCTAGATTTTATGGCTTGTTTCGTAATACTCTGTCGGCTATTTACGGCTCAAGAGTGTCTTAAATACACCGTTTATCTCGAGGGCAGGTTCTTCCTCCTTTGCCGTTTTTTTTTTCATTTCGATTAAGAAAATCGATTCGAGTCATCCGAGCGATAAGATAAGCTGCTGTTTCGGAGGAATCGGCAACGCTAGCAGTGGGCACGTAGGTGCAATAATATGCGGCGGACCCTTTGGTATAACTGCGCTGCCGCCCACGTGGCTCGAAGGAAAAATACGCAGCTGACGCAACCGAGAGAGAGGGAGAGAGATAAATTCGAACGCGGTGCCCTGTACACGCATTAATGCATTAATAAATATCCAGCGGTAGTCCTTATGCTGCGGAAAAATCAGCTGCTACGCTACGCAGCGGGAAAAAAGGTATACACAGGCAGGAAGGGAACGACAAGAGCAGCAGCTTGTGGCGCAGATCGAAGGTGTTTCGAGCATATACGAGAGAGAGAAAGAGGGGATGTAAGGTCGCGTGCCGACTTATAGGCTATGAGCCCGCCGCAGAAATAGTCATCGTAGGTATTATTATCGCTAACCGCGCGTGTGTACGTATACGCCGAGGGTGAACGTACGTAATTCGCAGTTTGTGCATCGCATTGCTTGCAGGGCTGACGCTGCTGCTGCTACTGCTCGATACCTTTTCCGTCCTCCTCGTCGCAGCTTTATGAATTATTAACCCGAGTGCAGGCGGCCGATGGCCGATTTTTCACCTATGACAAAAAGTTCCGAATTACGAGCTTATGTACAATATGGTCGGATCGTAACCGAAATATTTTTAAAGCTAAGCAGCTGCAGCCCTCTTGCAAGCTGGTAATTAATAAGGACGCATTAATTACGTGCGCGCACGATGACGTGATTCGCGAAAGAGACCATAACGTACGCTAACGCGTAGTTTAGAGGCTCAGCCAGCTACCCTCCACAGCGAAAATATAAATAAAAATTTAAGTGCGAGCTCGGAGTAAGGGAGGAGCGGAGAAAAAATTTTGCGCAAGAGGGACGCTTTTTAGTATAATTCTCACGCGCAGCGTAGACGAACACCCACTCGACTTTAATGAGTCGTGTGTTTCTACCAAGAGAGGAGAGAGAGAGAGAGAGCAAGTGTGTATATGCTTGAAAAAAAAAGAAAAATTACAATGAACACAAAACTTATTCCTCGTGTATAAGTGCGTAGGCAGCATTATTATAATGTGAAAAAAATGACGCGAAAAAAAATGTCCTACGCCTAGGCGAAAAATTATTTCTAATGATCGTCGAAGGCTCGACACGAGAGACTGATGACGTCAATGCGACAGGGTATTTCGTTAATTACGTTGTAGTTGCGAAGAATAGGTTTGTTATAGAGACAAGAAGAGCGAAAAAATGGTGCAGTGTACGTCGCGCTGACATTAGCCCCGAGGCCCTTTCTCGTTATCATTTCTGCTCGTCGAGCGCTCTATGCATATATTTTAGCTCGGCGGGCTACTTTTTTTCGCAGCTCGCACTCGTCGACGAGAGAGAGAGAGACTTTTTCTCGGGCCTAGTGGCATTCGCGAAAAAGAAGGAAGAAAAAAGCAAGCGCTGCACTTGGCAAATTAGAACAGCGAGAGATGTTTCAGGTAAGAGCAAATTTGCACCGTCGTATCGTACACGGACTCGCTGCACCGTGTGCCTCGGCTAAATTTTTCTCGAGCACGTTCTAAACATCTCGCGCCAGCGTAATAATTCCAAGAAACCTTCGCTCGACGGAGTCCTGCATATATGCGAGTACGCATGCTCGAGAGCTGAAAAGCTCGACTCCGGACATTCGCCCAACGAAAATGACAAGGTCCCAACAAGCACCTTTCGTGTACACATAGGTGAGTAGGTATCTACGCACACAATGTGATAGTCGTATAAGGTCATTATCGAAGAGATAGAAGGGGGAGGGTAAATATAACCCTGGTAAATATAAACAGCTGCAACGAGACCCTTACACATGCACGTGGCCCACATATGTAACGGACGAGCGTGCGTACGATGATGTACACGGCATATAATGAGTAACGCACGAGCATGAGCAACGTCGGGAAATGGAGAGAAAAAAAAAGTTGATTTGTTTCGCGAGAGAAGCAACGCCAAAGACCGATAGAGCTGAATTGATAACGAGCGAGTGCCAGGTTGACTCGGCTGACTAATTTATTTTACGGAATAGCCGTTCGTTTCGAAAGATTCAATGTCTAGCGAGCAAAATGAAATATGAGCGGTTAACGTATATTATTATGTATCGCAGCTAGCTCGTGCTTAAGCGCAAGCCTGAGAGATTTATTAACGATTCTTAAATCAAACGACCAAATAGACAATATCGAGAATTATGCTGCATTAAATCTTAGCGCTTACGAGCCGAGCGAAGATTTTATGTTAAGAAAGCTGGCGCGTTTACGATGCGCTTTTTTCTCGAAATTTTAAAACGAAAAAATCGAACGGTTTCAATTCATTGTTTAATTCCTACGATATAGTTGTTTCCATTGGACTGCATTGTCAAAGATGCAATTTGTGTCAATTTAAAAAATCAAGTAATAATAATTTGGGCATTTTTTGGTTATAAGATAATTTTAAACCTCGCGAGCTTATTAATTTTGTCGTCCACGTATTTTACCTAACCTCAGTAATACGCGGCTCGGCGAGTTTTTTCAGCTCAGTAGCGCAGTAAACGTAATTGCAAGCTCAAGACTCGAGCACTTGCTCGAGTTATTAAGAAAAAGCGTGCATTATTTTATAGAGGCACGCGAGTCTCGAGTAATTTCGGTAACAAACAAACGTTCCTACACGCCATGTTTTCAATGAAGCGTCGACGATCTAGATCGCGTAAATATATAAGGAAAAATATAAAAAGAAAGATAAGACGCGAGAGAGAGAGGGAGAGAGCAGAGTTTGTGTACATGGTCTCGATGAAATTTAAGCGAAGGCAAACCGCAGGGAGAGAGACGATTGATGGGAGTTTGCCAAAGAGAGATCGATTGACTTTCTTGACTCGAGCCCGGCTCTTGGATACCTTATGGGCTACTGCAAGCAGCTATACGAGTAATTTCGTTACATTTACGGGGCGTACTTGCGTGTAAGATAATATTGTACTCGCTCGGGGTGAAAAATAAAGATTTCGGTCGGATAGCGAAACCGAAGCGCCACGCAGCAGTTTTGGCGAAATGATCCAATTGAAAAGTGCAAAATTACACATACGCGCATTACTAACTGCACATTAAACAGCTTGGATGAGCTCGATAAATGCGCAAACATCGGTCAAGCTCGCGCTTCGCATTGAATCTCGATCCTGACAAATGTTGTACATACACGCGTACATCGAACAATATATACTGATAAATGACTGTGACGAATTTGAATTCTAAACGAAAAGGCCACATTTATCTCAATAATGCAGGGCTTGTGCAGAAAGATCACACATGAGCGCGCACGCGTATACAAACAGAGAAAGAGAGAGAGAGAGAGAGAGAGAGAGAGAGAGAGAGAGTAACGCTCTGTGCAGCTGCGTTTGACCCAGTGCAGGGCAGGTCGAATTAATCAAGTTATAGACTCGTGCGGCAAGGGTTGAGGCTCGAATGAGCAATCGCAACCGCATCCAAGCGACATCCAAGCGAAAT